ATCAGACAGACATCAGACAGACATCAGACAGACAACAGACAGACATCAGACAGACATCAGACAGACATCAGACAGACAACAGACAGACATCAGACAGACATCAGACAGACATCAGACAGACATCAGACAAACGTCAAAAAGACAGATATCAAACAAACAACAGACAGACATCAGACAGACATCAGACAGACAACAGACAGACATCAGACAGACATCAGACAGACAACAGACAGACATCAGACAGACATCAGACAGACATCAGACAGACAACAGACAGACATCAGACAATCATCAGACAGACATCAGACAGACATCAGACAGACAACAGACAGACATCAGACAAACGTCAAAAAGACAGATATCAAACAAACATCAGACAGACAGACATCAGACAGACAACAGACAGACATCAGACAGACATCAGACAGACATCAGACAGACATCAGACAGACAACAGACAGACATCAGACAAACGTCAAAAAGACAGATATCAAACAAACATCAGACAGACTATATCCTCAACATCTGTGTGTGTGTGTGTGTGAGAGTGAGTGTGTGTGTGTGTGTGAGAGTGAGTGTGTGTGTGTGATCCGGAGCCACTGACCTCAGATCTGCTCCACTCACACACACACAAACACACAGTCAAACACACACACACACACACACACACACACACAGACCTGTGTTCACCCCCCATCCTGTGACTAAGTAGAGTAAATGGATTTCTCATGATCTGTGATCTCGCTGCCAGACACTGCGATTTCTCCTCATTGCTGCCAGATGTTGAAGACATTCGATGGCCGGCCACTCTCACACACACACACACACACACACACGTTCAGATGCTCCTCGGCTGATGTGGGATCAGGCTAAATCCGCTGGTGGTCCGAGAAATAGTTGATTTCCGGTCTAGTTTTACTGGAGCCGAAAGCAAAGTGGAGAATAACTGGAATTCCATTCATGGAATTTACATTCATGCATTTATCAGACGCTTTTATCCACAGCGCTTACACTGCATTTTAAGCTACACATTTACATTCTTATCAGTTCTTGCGTTCCCTGGGAACCAGTGGCGGTTCTAGCCCATTTCAACTGGGGGGGCCAAGCTGGGGCCAGTTGTACTGTTAGAGGGGCCAGTTACATTTAGACCTTATTGTTGTCATATCATTTTCTGCACTGCTGCAGGCATTAACAGGCATAATACCGTGTTTATAATCATTCAACAATGTATTTGCATTTCCATTATGTTTTTACATTTGCATTACATATTCAGTATTAGTCACAGTAACTGTAATAGACATGATGTCCTTCTTTCTCTTCATTTTGAGAACTATAGAGCAAAAGCAATGGGGACCAAGAAGCTTATTAATTCATTTACTGAAAATAACTGACTTGATATGTCTAACCGTTTACAGGGTTCCTGCACACTTTTTAAAGTCAAATTTAAGGCTTTTTAAGACCTAAAGAAATCAAAATTAATACCGTACATTAGGGGTGTGCAATATTGACAAAAATATATTTCAATATTTTCAACATTTTGTTAATAATTAGATAATATTTTACTGATTGTGTTTTTGTGCTGGTGCCATGGCTGGTTTAGGCCTGTTGTTGACAGCTGACTCACGAAGATATTAATATTTTTCATATTCTATGCAGTGGTCGGTTCACAGCAGTGACAGAAATACATTTTTTAATTAAGGGGCAATATTTGCCACCTTAAATTGATTTCCAGGGGCATTTTCACCTATGGACATTTTTTCTAAACTTATTTAGAGTTATGCATCACCTTTTATGTCAAATACTAACATTCAAATTATACAGTAATTATACTTATTTATACAATAATACTTAATTATGCAATAATTATACAGTACCACTGTTACCAGTCAAATTAATTAATTCAATCAAAATCCATCTTTGCAGTGCAGAGGTGACACAGAAGTGGCATTAATATATTTACACTCCATTTACAATTGCATAAATAAAGCTATGAGATTTTTTTAAAATCAATATTTAAAAATGCAATTATTTCTAATTTTAACGTTTTAATTAAAGGATACTTTAAATATGAAACTAAAACCGCCAGTAGGCGGCGGCAAGTCCCTGTAAGAGGGATTCATTCATTCAAACGATTTGTTCAAACGGCTGATTTATTCGGGAAAGAAGCAAGTGATTCGTTCAAAACGCGGATTTCAGTCAATAAATCATTGCTGTGTTGCATTGAGACTCACTACGGTTTCATTATGAAATTCTAGTCGGCGAAATAAAGGGAAAACAAACAATATTGACAATATTGTGTCTAAAAAGTAACTCCCAATGTTAACTTATTGTTAATTTAACTGTTGTATAACGTAAATATCACAGTTGCAATTGTGCACGGGAAAACGGCACTCTTGCTGATGCGATATTCTAATATAAGAACATAATATGATATAAATATAAGACAAAAATAATTTGGGGACATATAGCCTACCTATGAACTGCACATAGCAGTGAAAGGACGATAGAAAAATGCTATGTCAGCTCACAGTGCCTCGTACATAGTTAAAGCAATGATTACAATATCATAATAGACAATACACATCGCACACCATACGCACATAAAGAATGAACTTACAACTGAACTGACATTTACCAACTTTCTTCTCTCCTCTCTCGCGTGCAGGAGACAGACGTTATTCTGCCGCGATTCCCGCGAATGTGATGCGAATTGTCACGTGAAAATGCAAATCCACAAAGATAGAAAAATAAAAAATAATACGCATACGATAGCAAAAAAACAGTTTTGTAAAAATTATTTCAAACTCCACATTTAGGGGGGCCACAAGGGGGGCCAAGCTTTTTGTCACAGGGGCACGGGCCCCCCTGGCCCCCCCTCTAGAACCGCCACTGCTGGGAACCGAACCCATGACCGTGGCGTTGCAAGCGCCAGCGCTCTCCTGTCTGAGCTGCCGGAAAGAAGAAACGCTTCGGCACTCCTGAGTTTCACAGGTTTAAACTGCATAAACATACAGGAGAATGTGCAGCAATCAATACATCACACACACTAGATCAACTCTCGATGCTGGAGCCTGAGTCCTGACATGAGATCATGCGGAGTGTGTGAATCTGAACACACTTCCAACGTGTAGTGTGTGTGATGGAGAGACTGACAGACTCACAGTTCTTTAGTTCTCAGTTTTGCTGCAAAGAACCTTTTCTGTGTTAATAAAAGCATCAACACATCAATGATGAACTAGCGTCTCAATCCCAAGAGCATCAATGTGTGTGTGAGTGAGAGTGTGTGTGAGTGAGAGTGTATATGTGTGTGTGTTCGAGTGTATGTGTGTGTGAGTGGTGGGTGAGAGAGTGTGTATGTGTGTGTATTCGAGTGTATGTGTGTGTGAGTGTATGTGTGTGAAAGTGTGAGTGTATGTGTGTGTGAGTGGTGTGTGTGTGAGAGAGAGTGTGTATGTGTGTGTGAGAGAGGTGTATGTGTGTGAGAGAGGTGTGTGTGTGTGAGTGAGTGGTGTATGTGTGTGTGAGCAAGTGTGTGTGTGTGTGTGAGAGAGTTAGTGTGTGTGTGTGAGTGAGAGAGAGAGAGTGTGTGTGTGTGTGAGTGGTGTATGTGTGAGAGTGTGTATGTGTGAGTGGTGTATGTGTGAGAGAGTGTGTGTGTGTGTGTGTGAGTCGTGTATGTGTGAGAGAGTGTGTGTGTGAGTGGTGTATGTGTGAGAGAGTGTGTATGTGTGTGTGACTGGTGTATGTTTGCGTGAGTGAGTGTGTGTGTGAGTTTGTATGTGTGTGTTAGAGTGTATGTGTGTATGTGAGAGTATGTGTGTGTGAGAGTGTGTATGGGTGTGAGTGTGTGTGAGACGTGTGTGTATGTGAGTTAGTGTATATGTGTGTGTGTGAGTGAGTGAGAGAGAGAGTGTGTGTGTGTGTGTGTGTGTGTATGTGTGAGAGTGTGTATGTGTGTGTGACTGGTGTATGTTTGTGTGTGAGTGAGTGTGTGTGTGAGTTTGTATGTGTGTGTTAGAGTGTATGTGTGTGTGTGTGTGTATGTGTATGTGAGAGTATGTGTGTGTGAGAGTGTGTATGGGTGTGAGTGTGTGTGAGAGGTGTGTGTGTGAGAGTGTGTGTGTGTGTGTGTGTGTGTGAGAGAGTGTGTGTGAGTGGTGTATGTGTGAGAGAGTGTGAGTGTGTGTGTGTGTGTGTGTGTGAGAGAGTGTGTGTGAGTGGTGTGTGTATGTGTGTGTGTGTGTGTGAGTTAGTGTGTGTGTGTGTGTGTGTGTGTGTGTGTATATGTGTGAGAGAGTGTGTGTGAGTGGTGTATGTGTGAGAGAGTGTGAGTGTGTGTGTGTGTGTGTGTGTGTGTGTGTGTGTGTGTGTGTGTGTGTGTGTGTGAGACAGGATAAAGATCACGCAAGCGTTCACACGTGTGTAGCAGCTCATGGGAGTGTGTTTATTGTGTAGTAGAGTGTGCAAACATGTGCTTTAACCAAAGCTGAATAACCATCATAAACAGACCTGGATACACACATTAACCCTCGGGACACACACTCCTCCCTCCTCACACACACTCCTCCCATCATCCTGCTGATTCTCCATATATATCCAACATCCCTACGGAGGCCCTGGAGGGACACGCTGACGGAAACACACACAGCGATGCCTCTGTGTTGAGAAACGTTATGAGAACACTTTACACTACGGTTCATTAGCTCACATGCACCAAGAACGAACAATACTTCAGCATTTATTAATCTTAGTTAATATTAAATTCAACATTTACTAATACATTATTAAAATCAAAGGTTGTATTTGTTAGCATTAGTTAATGCACTGAACTAACATGAACAGCTGGATTATTATTGACTAAGATTAATAAATACTGTAACAAATGTGTTAGATCATGTTCGTTAATGCATTAACTAATGAAGCTTATTGTACAGTGTTACCGCCGTCTCCATCATCATGTCCCTTTAGAGGCTCCGTACGTTTACAGAAGACAAAAAGAGTAGGAAAAATAATTAATTTACAAAATATAGTTTTGTATAAAATGCATCTTTCTGTACAAACGTGTCATCATTTACATTCAGCCGAAGCTCTTTCTGAGGTAGAACGTGTCTAGTTTTCGCTCGTCCTGGTTGGAGGAACGTAAAGTCACATGACGTGCCGCTACGAGGCGGGAAAGTTCGTCCTGTTGTCGAAGGGCGTCTCGTACACGTCGAGGTCCGGGTGAGTGCCGGCGGGATCCGGGTGAGTGCCGGCGTATGGGTTCTCCTGAAGCACGACTCCGGGATGAGGACGCCACGCTTTCCCGAACGTTCCTGAGAACACAGGGGTCACACACACATCATTCAACAGCCAATCAACTGCTGAGGGATGAACCCAAGCCACGCCCATTTATCTAGAGACTTGCGTTCATGCGTTTCCTAGCAATCAATCCCATGATGCTTTACTGAGCGAGTGAATATCTTGTAGTCAAATATACAGAAATGTATTACATTACAGTTTGCAGTGTGTGTGTGTGTGAGTGAGAGAGAGTGAGTGTGTGTGTGTGTGAGTGAGAGTGAGTGGATGTGTGTGTGTGTGTGTGTATGTGTGAGTGAGAGTATGTTTGTGTGTGTGTGTGTCTGTGTGAGTGAGAGTATGTTTGTGTTTGTGTGTGTGTGTCTGTGTGAGTGAGAGTGATCAGTTTGCAGAAGCAGTGCTCTCTCACCCATATATGAAGCCGGGGAGCCCAGAACACACTCTCCTCGCACACACTCCTCCACACACTCTGTGTCGGCGGGCAGCATCGTTATCATGTGATCGAAGGGTTCGAGGGCGGAGCTACAGGTGTAGAACTCCCTGTTCCTGCTGAAGGATTCGCTGCAGACGAGCCTCGGGTCTGAAGAGGAGAACCACACGACTCATCAGCTCAGGGGTCATGTGACCGCGTCATGTCTCTGGGGTCATGTGAACGCATCATCTCTGGGGTCATGTCTCAGGGGTCATGTGACCGCGTCATCTCTGGGGTCATGTCTCTGGGGTCATGTGACCGCGTCATCTCTGGGGTCATGTGAACGCATCATCTCTGGGGTCATGTCTCAGGGGTCATGTGACCGCGTCATGTCTCTGGGGTCATGTGACCGCGTCATGTCTCTGGGGTCATGTCTCAGGGGTCATGTGAACGCATCATCTCTGGGGTCATGTGACCGCGTCATGTCTCAGGGGTCATGTCTCAGGGGTCATGTGACCGCGTCATCTCTGGGGTCATGTGAACGCATCATCTCTGGGGTCATGTCTCAGGGGTCATGTGACCGCGTCATCTCTGGGGTCATGTGAACGCATCATCTCTGGGGTCATGTCTCAGGGGTCATGTGACAGCGTCATCTCTGGGGTCATGTGACCGCGTCATGTCTCAGGGGTCATGTGACGGCGTCATGTCTCAGGGGTCATGTGACGGCGTCATGTCTCAGGGGTCATGTGACGGCGTCATGTCTCAGGGGTCATGTGACGGCGTCATGTCTCAGGGGTCATGTGACGGCGTCATGTCTCAGGGGTCATGTGACGGCGTCATGTCTCAGGGGTCATGTGACCGCGTCATCTCTGGGGTCATGTGACCGCGTCATGTCTCAGGGGTCATGTGACGGCGTCATGTCTCAGGGGTCATGTGAACGCATCATCTCTGGGGTCATGTGACCGCGTCATGTCTCTGGGGTCATGTTTCAGGGGTCATGTCTCATGGGTCATGTGAACGCATCATCTCTGGGGTCATGTGAACGCATCATCTCTGGGGTCATGTCTCAGGGGTCATGTCTCAGGGGTCATGTGACCGCACCGCTCACCTGTGTAGGACTCGGGAGGATCGGGGCTGTAGCGTCTCAGCATTGAACCGACCGGCCCCTGATAACGGCAGAGCATTGGGTCGATCACCTCCATGTCCGCATCACTTCCTGTGTCCAGCTGGCAGAGGCCTATGGGACGAGGAAAATCAAGTCATTTTTAGTCAATATTTCAGTTCCATCTGTAAATTTGCAGCCATTTTTTTAAACCGTAAATATCACTGATAGTTTTCACAGTGTATAAAGAGAGCGGAGGGTCAGGTCTTACTGCTCATGTCTTTGGTCGGCATGTAAAAGCCCCCGATGGAGGAGCTGATGTACTGATGGCTGTCGCTCTCAGACGCCATAAACCCGTCCTGGCGCTCCGCTAGCGTTCCCTGAGACGACAGATAGCTCGGGATATCCGCCGGCAGATTCGTCTCATCTACACACGTGAGAGAAACAGGATTATTGGCCGTACTCACATGTGTGTGTGTGAGTGAGTGAGTGAGTGAGTGCCCACTTTGGGCTTCAGAAACGCTCTTCAGAAACACTACGGGTGATGTCACACACACTACGCCCATATTATATACGGTCTCTGACTTCAGGCCTGACCTGTGTTGGTGACGCTGCAGTCCTCGTTGCGTCGGCGCGTGTGGTAAATGATCACCACCCACACGAGAGACGTCCCCACCACGCAACACACCACCGCGATGATCACGATGCCCACGGTGGTCCAGCCGTCGTCCTCAGACCCTCGTCCCGCCGGGGCCCCGATGGACACGCCCGGGTCACAGTTGGGGTTGGGAATGATGGCCAAACGCACGTTCCCACGCTCCGTTCCCAGAGGATTGGACATCTCGCACGTGTATGTTCCCGCGTCTCCCTCGGCGGCGTCCACGATGATTAGCAGCTGGTTCCCCGCGGCGAAGAAGTGCCGCTCCGTCACGACTAGCGGGCTGTCGTCTTTGGTCCAGTTGAGTCGGGGTGCCGGACTCCCGCCCGCGATACACTGCAGAACCGCGGTCTCACCCGTCGCCACCGAACGGTCCATCAGCGGGCGCAGGAACGACGGCGTTTCTGGAGGAGGAACGGGATGTTACGTAAGGGATCATGTACATCCATCCGGTTGTTATCTCAGAATAAACCCCCTTCAGGTGTGTGTGTGTGTGTGTGTGTGTGTGTTCACACACCTGAAGGGGGTTTATTCTGAGATAACAACCGGCTGGATGTACATTATCCCGCTTATTATACGCCTACTTGCCACGCAAAATATTGTTCTGAGTCTAAATATCTAAAAAAATGAAGAAAGATTAGTTGTAAAGAAAGACTAACCCAGCACAGTTAGCGTAGCGTTAGCTGAGACGGCTCCTGCGGTGTTCTGGGCCGTGCAGCTGTACACACCGATGTCTTCCGTCTTCACGTCCACCATGAAGAACACGTCGTCTCTCGGCATGACGTGCATCCGGCGCTCACGTGCCGCTGGGAAATCCGTGCCTCCATCTTTCTGCCAGGCGATCTGAGGAGACGGGTGTCCGCTAGCCGCGCACTCCAGTCGAGCCGTAGCTCCCGCGCGGATCGACAGATCCATCGGCATCTTGGTGAAGTACGGCAGCACTGCGGGGACAAAATCAGTTAGGGAAGACAAACTGAAGAATGACAACCTTCCTGTCTCACTTGAAACCAACTTAACCTGCAGTTCCTCCACTGGCCACTAGAGGCCGGCTGCAGAAGAGACTCAGTCCCATAGACCCCCATGTTAAAACGCTCAACTTTACAGCAGGAAAACACATGTTTACAGTCTGGTGCAGAAAGTGAATTTGGTCTATATCGCTAGTTTTGCTCTTCATGGCGACTGTGAGGGGGTGAATTTTTTTATAACTCATCCGTTTAAATTATATTAAGCCTTAAAGTTGTGCATAATTAAGGGCGTGGCCACTTGAGTGACAGGTGGATTGCTGCTGATGTCACTGCTAGCCGTTTGTCTGCTGTCTGTTAGCGTCACACACACACTACGCCCATATTATATACAGTCTATGGGTGTAACCAGTTTTATCAATTTAAAGTATAAGTTCACTTCCGAATTAAAATCTCCTGATAGTTTACTCTCCCTCACGTCATCCAAGATGTTCATGTCTTTCTTTCTTCACCCTGATGACGTAATGTGTGTCGCATCACAGCTCGTGCAAGACCAGCATTAGTGGTTAAAAGTATATAAATGTTTATTTTGTTATAAATGTCCGCTGGTTTGTCTAGATCAGACTCTTATTCCTCGGCTGGATCGTGTTGAGACTTTGAAGCTGCACTGAAACTCACATCTGGACCTTCGACCCGTTGGACCCCATTGAAGACACTATATGGAGAAACCCTGGAGTGTGTTCCTCAAAAACCTTCATTTCTTTTCAACTGAAGGGGTGAGTAAACTATCAGGAGATGTTAATTCTGAAGTGAACTCCTCCTTTAAGATTTCTCTTGTTAAGAGTGCCTTTGGATTTGAAGACTTACTGTTGACGGTCAGCTTGGCTTTGCTGGAGTACGAGGAGCCGAAGTGGTTGGAGATCACGCACTGGTATTTGCCCTCGCTGGAGAAGTCCACGGTTCTCAGCTGTAGTGTGGTGGTGTACTCCGTGACCTCCGTGACCTCTGTGACCTCCGTGACCTCGCTGACCTGAGACCGCAGGTGGGCCTGGTTGTGGATCTCTGCGTCGTTCAGGACCTCGTTGTCTTTCTTCCAGGCGAAGGTCATCGGGGAGTCGCTGGAACTGGCCGCCGAACACACGAAAGTCACGTTCGTGCCTTTAATGGCGGATTGTGTCTCGGGCTGAACCGTGATCTGGGGTTTGGGGAAATCATCTGCAGCGCACAACAACACACGCATGATTTAACAGCCTGAAAACAAAGCTCCTCTTTAAAGGAGTTCACTTTCAAATGAACATTGGCCCATGATTTACTCACCCCTCAAGCCATCCTAGGTTTATATGACTTTCTTCTTTCAGACGAATACAATCGGAGTTATATAAAAAAAAAATTCTGGCTCTTCCAAGCTTTATAATGGCAGTGGATTGCAACCAACAGATTGAAGCTCAAACAAATGTTACTATCCATCATAAAAGTGCATCTATCCATCATAAAAGTGCATCTATCCATCATAATAGTGCATCTGTCCATCATAAAAGTGCCTCTATCATCATAAAAGTGCATCTATCCATCATAAAAGTGCATCTATTCATGATAAAAGTGCATCTATCCATCATAAAAGTGCATCTATCATCATAAAAGTGCATCTATCCATGATAAAAGTGCATCTATCCATCATAAAAGTGCATCTATCCATGATAAAAGTTCATCTATCCATGATAAAAGTGCATCTATCCATCATAAAAGTGCATCTATTCATGATAAAAGTGCATCTATCCATGATAAAATTGCATCTATCCATGATAAAAGTGCATCTATCCATCATAAAAGTGCATCTATCCATCATAAAAGTGCATCTATCCATGATAAAAGTGCATCTATCCATGATAAAAGTGCATCTATCCATGATAAAAGTGCATCTATACATCATAAAAGTGCATCTATCCATCATAAAAGTGCATCTATCCATCATAAAAGTGCATCTGTCCATGATAAAAGTGCATCTATCCATCATAAAAGTGCATCTATTCATGATAAAAGTGCATCTATCCATGATAAAATTGCATCTATCCATCATAAAAGTGCATCTATCCATCATAAAAGTGCATCTATCCATGATAAAAGTGCATCTATCCATGATAAAAGTGCATCTATCCATGATAAAAGTGCATCTATCCATGATAAAAGTGCATCTATCCATCATAAAAGTGCATCTGTCCATCATAAAAGTGCATCTATCCATCATAAAAGTGCATCTGTCCATGATAAAAGTGCATCTGTCCATCATAAAAGTGCATCTATCCATGATAAAAGTGCATCTGTCCATCATAAAAGTGCATCTGTCCATCATAAAAGTGCATCTGTCCATCATAAAAGTGCATCTGTCCATCATAAAAGTGCATCTGTCCATCATAAAAGTGCATCTGTCCATGATAAAAGTGCATCTGTCCATCATAAAAGTGCATCTGTCCATCATAAAAGTGCATCTGTCCATCATAAAAGTGCATCTGTCCATGATAAAAGTGCATCTGTCCATCATAAAAGTGCATCTGTCCATCATAAAAGTGCATCTGTCCATCATAAAAGTGCATCTGTCCATCATAAAAGTGCATCTGTCCATCATAAAAGTGCATCTGTCCATCATAAAAGTGCATCTGTCCATGATAAAAGTGCATCTGTCCATCATAAAAGTGCATCTATCCATCATAAAAGTGCATCTGTCCATCATAAAAGTGCATCTGTCCATCATAAAAGTGCATCTGTCCATGATAAAAGTGCATCTGTCCATCATAAAAGTGCATCTATCCATGATAAAAGTGCATCTGTCCATCATAAAAGTGCATCTATCCATGATAAAAGTGCATCTGTCCATGATAAAAGTGCATCTGTCCATCATAAAAGTGCATCTATCCATGATAAAAGTGCATCTGTCCATCATAAAAGTGCATCTGTCCATGATAAAAGTGCATCTGTCCATGATAAAAGTGCATCTGTCCATCATAAAAGTGCATCTGTCCATCATAAAAGTGCATCTGTCCATCATAAAAGTGCATCTATCCATCATAAAAGTGCATCTATCCATGATAAAAGTGCATCTGTCCATCATAAAAGTGCATCTATCCATCATAAATGTGCATCTGTCCATCATAAAAGTGCATCTGTCCATCATAAAAGTGCATCTATCCATCATAAAAGTGCATCTATCCATCATAAAAGTGCATCTATCCATCATAAAAGTGCATCTGTCCATCATAAAAGTGCATCTGTCCATGATAAAAGTGCATCTATCCATGATAAAAGTGCATCTATCCATCATAAAAGTGCATCTATCCATCATAAAAGTGCATCTGTCCATCATAAAAGTGCATCTATCCATGATAAAAGTGCATCTGTCCATCATAAAAGTGCATCTATCCATCATAAAAGTGCATCTGTCCATCATAAAAGTGCATCTGTCCATCATAAAAGTGCATCTGTCCATGATAAAAGTGCATCTGTCCATCATAAAAGTGCATCTGTCCATCATAAAAGTGTATTATTTTGCTTCAGAAGGCCTTTATTAACCCCTCAGAGCCTGTGGAGCACTTTTATGATGGATAGATGCACTTTAATGACGGATAGATGCACTTTTATGTGCTTTAATCTGTTGGTTGCAATCAACTGCCATTATAAAACTTGAAAGAGCCAGAATATTTTTTTAATATAACTGATTGTATTCGTCTGAAAGAAGAAAGTCATATACACCTAGGATGTCTTGAGGGGTGAGTAAATCATGGGCTAATGTTCATTTGAAAGTGAACTACTCCTTTAAGAGAAAGCCTGACTGAACTGGGTCGATCACGTGACGCTCGCCCACTCACCGCACACAAACTCGTCCTGGGCGACGGCGAATACGCTTCTGCCCTTCAGCAGATGTGGATGGGCACAGCTGGCGTTCACCAGAGGAAGAAAAGCATGTTCTGCCACCCACGGAGAAAACCACTTGAGCTGGCAGTCACACAGCAGACTAGATGTGTTCAGGAGCCTGACGGGCGACACGAACAATCACTGCAGGAACTAGAAAATGCTAGATTTCATAAATGTCATAATCATTTGTCAACACACAAGTATTCATTACTTCAGTGAGTTTCGGCATTAAATTATTACATTGTTTAAATTAATAAATTTTTAGCTAACTGTGACTTTGCATATGTACATTTCTGAAATACATTTATCTATCTAAACTGTAATGTGGACTCATGCACTTTCTGTAAAGCTGCTTTAAATGATGTGTATTGTGTAGCGCTGTGGGAATTAACACGTTCATCTTTGCGATTCATTTGAGATGTTTAACGCACTAAAAAAAAAAATACCGCAATTGACGCAGCACTTAATCGTGCCGCTGTGATTCATACGTACAGCTCCGTCAGCTTCTTCATCTGAGAGAAGGCGTTGGCCTGCAGCGACATGATGGCGTTGTTGCTCAAATCCCTGTGACGTGAGGATGGAGAACACGTTTAGGAACGAACACACATCATCCTCATCAAACATTAGTGATCTGAAAGAGACTCACAGTTGCTCCAGCTCGTCCAGGCCTGTGAAAGACTTCCTGGTGACCGATCGGATGCGGTTCCCTTGGAGGAACCTGAGGAGCAGAACAACAACTCGTTCGGTGTCCTCGGCACTGATGCTGACGTGCAGCGATCATTACAGTCAAAACTACACTTATTCACACTCCTTCAACATTTCTCACATTATCAGTTTATCCGCTATAGTTTAGGAAGTGGTGATAAATATGAGCAGAACTCAGTGGATGTTTGACTGGTTTAGTCCGTCCTTCTGTTAGACTCTCACACATGAGTTATGTTGAATATCTGTCAGCTGTTAAATTTAACTACACAATTAGATAATACCAGTTTAGCTCAACCAGTGACCAAGCAATGCTTCATGTTGTTCAGTGTGTGTGTAAAAAGAGCATTAGCAGTTACAGAAAACACACTGAAGAAAACATGATCAGCTCAAAGTGGAGGAATCATATTTGGTTTATAAATGTCACTGGTAGTCACTGGATGAAGAATATTTGTGTGTAATATGTCACAGTTTACTTTATTTTGCTCTCCTCACTTACATAATGAACTATAGAGTCCTGCACACACTAGTGAAACAAAATATAAAAAATGATATCTGGTGTCTGAATAATGTTTGGTTTGACTGTAGACTGAGATAACATGATCCTGTAAACACTCACAGCTTCCTCAGATTGTCCAGAGCAGAGAAAGGGCCGTTCATGTCCTCGATGGTCCATGAGATCTCGTTACACTTCAGATCTCTAAAGCAAGAGAAAGCAGAGCAAACCACAGTGTTAAAGTCCACACCCAGAAAACACCAGTCACTGAGCAGCCCAGGCCTTGTGTTCGAGCTAAAAATGAGCACGCAGCAAACCAGACGCTCGAAACCTGCTGACACCGGCTGGCTGCATACTAATTCATGCTAGCAATGTGCTAAAACATGCTAATTCATGGCAGTAACATGCTAAAAATGCTTGCAACATGCCATTTCATGCTAGCAATGTGCTAAAACATGCTTTAGTTGCCTTTGGCTTGCTTATTTGGGGACATTTAATATTCAACAATATTATTGATCTGCCTGCATTGACACCATTATATTATATTATGATGGAAAGATGCACTTTTATGGACTTCAAAACAGAAACACTCATTCACTGCCATTATAAAGCTTGGAAGAGCCAGGACATTTTTTAACATAACTCTGATTGTATTCGTCTGAAAGAAGAGTGTCATATACACCTAGGATGAGTTCAGGATGAGTAAATCATGGGCTAATGTTCATTTTTGGGTGAACTCTCCCTTTAATAAACTGCACTGACAGCTCATTCACTGAAAGCAGAAGTGTTGAAGTGTTCCAGGAGTCGGACTCACAGCGTCTGCAAGTTGGCGAGGCCTCGAAACGCTCCGTCGGCGATGAAACTGACGCGGTTGTTTCCGACGTGGAGCTGCTCGAGGACACTGAGTCCGACGAAACTGCCTTCCTCCAAACGGGTCAGCTGGTTCCAGTTCAGATCCCTGGCAGACACACAACAGATATATCAGTCAAGCATCCCACGGTGTGTTTGAACGTCACGAAAGAGGGAGCTGAGGTATCCCTCTTAGCCTTTAACTGAGAGTCACATGCTGTGTCTGAAACACTGGGTTTGAAACTTGATAAAACTGTATGATATTAATGTGTGTAGTATGAATGAGATTCGGACGTTCTACATCTAAAGTCTAAAAGAGCTTAAACTGGACTTTAAAAAAAGCTTAAACTAGTCTGATGTAGAATTCATCTAAAATAATTGATAATGAATATTTGTATTCTGGTGTCACTATTGTCCTGTGCATTGGGTTCCAGTCCAGTCCAAGTTACACCCACAATGTAATAGCAAATTTAGCATTTTAATCAAAAATCTTATCATGTTTCTTGGAGTAACGCAATAATATCGTATCATGAGTTTGGTATCGTGACATGAGGGTATCGTTACACCCCTAGTCTATGGATAATCTATCCAACAGAACGATGAAAGAAGACAACGCAGCCGTACACAAACACACACATGACCCCTGCGCAGGCATGATGGGGCAGAGCAGGCCCGGAGTGGGTAATCGGGAGAATTCCCGGTGGGCCGCTTCACTTTTGGGCCGGTCGAGGATTTTTATTTATTTATTTATTTTACATTTGTCACATTGTCTATCTTCTCTTAAAGGCTACACACGATCCACATTCTAACACCGCAGCGCGCAGCCTCTGCATGGGTTGTACCATGTAAGGGAATTCTCCCCTCCTCTTCCAAATAGAGTTGGTTGGGTCCATATAGCCCGTCTTTTTCAAAACGTTTTCTCAGGTAGTATAGGCTACCGATAGCTGGGCCGGCCCTACCGTTGCTGTACGCGTCAGGGAGGATGGATGGGAGGAAGAGGCCAGGACGGAGGGGCTGAAAAAGCCAGGTTAAAAAAAAGAAAGGTATTGGAGGAGGATGCTGCCAAACTTACAGATTTATTTTCAAGAGGACAAACACAAGTGGCAACAGGTAAAGAAAGATAGGCCTAGTAATGATTAGCATGTCAACCTATTCACAAGCAAAATATTAAATATAATTAAGGCGAGACACGGCAGGCAAAAACATCATTTTTTTACTGGTCAATTTTGAGATTTTGGGGTATTTGTCTTCTTTCAGACTTGTGGTAAAAAAAGTCCGAAATACACATTTAGGTCTTTATCTTACAACACTGTCTGTTTGCGTCTGTAGATTTCTCATAAATTCATCAAAAGTTGGTGATATAAATCATCCGCTGCTCCGCGATCGCTGTCTGCACCCTGTCATCACACACACCGCTAGAAAGCTCTCTATCTGCTGTACAATGCTGTCGGATACAAATATGGTCATTTCCTTTTTATCAGCAACCAATCGTGAAAGTAAAAGGGGGGGATTTAACTCTGAATGCACAATCTCATTGGCTGATGCTAAATCTTTAAAGCCCATTTTCTCAAAATGACCTTTCTCTCATACTCCAAGTCCGGAATCTCCACTTCAGTAGCACCTATATACACCACACTTTCCAGTCTTGTACTTAGTTATATTATGAAGACATTTACAGAGGGATTTGTAAATATATTATTCGTAGCCTGATTTATATAACATTTTATTCCCAAAAACATAGTGAAAATAATTTTTTTAAGGCTATTGACCGTATATTCTGATTTACAGGATAACAAAAGTAGATATCCATAAATCCCTCTGTAATTTTAAGAAAGAGCAGTATATGACGGTACATGATAAACAAAAATGTATTGTTTGTTCAGAAGTGGGTGTAGTAAAGGAGTAAATTACCACAATTTGATACCCATGCAGAAAAATTATAATGATCATGATATTTTTTGTTAACTTCTCAGCTTAAGTGAATTATTATTTAACCTTTACATTATTGTTGAACCATGGTATTAATAAAAACTACACAATAGTAAGAGCTGAACTGTTGCTTCATTTATCCAATTTCCTCCATGGAAAAAGTGGGCCGGTCTTGAGCCTGAAACTCCCGGGCTGAAAAGTGGCCCCACTCCGGCCCTGGGGCAGAGACACACACACACACACACACGTGACTCACAGCTCGGAGAGTTTCTGGCAGAACTCCCAGGCGTCGGCTCTGATGCGGATGATGGTGTTGTGCGACAGATGAAGTTTCTGCAGCGTCAGGAGCCCGTAGAGCCAGCCTTTACTCACCTCCGTCAGGTTATTGTGCTCCAGCTGTCTGCTCACACACACACACAGGTTTGTTGTGCAATATTTGTGAGGACATTCCATAGGCGTAATGGTTTTTATACTGTACAAACTGTATATTCTGTCCCCCTACACTAACCCGACCCCTAAACCTGCCCATCACACACACACACACACACACACACACACACACACACACACACACACACACACACACACACACACACACACACACTAACCCGACCCCTAAACCTACCCATCTCACTCACACACACACACACACACACACACACACACACACACACACACACACACACACACACACACACACACACACGCACACACACGCACACACACACACACACACTAACCCGACCCCTAAACCTACCCATCTCACTCACACACACACACACACACACACACACACACACGACCCCTAAACCTACCCATCTCACTCACACACACACACACACACACACACACACACACACACACACACACACACACACACACACACACACACACACACGACCCCTAAACCTACCCATCTCTCACACACACACACACACACACACCCTAAACCGCCCCATCATACACACGACCCCTAAACCTACCCATCTCTCACACACACACACACACACTAAACCGACCCCTAAACCGCCCCATCACACAGACACACACACACTAACCCGACCCCTAAACCTACCCATCACACACACACACACACACACACACACACACACACAAGCCCCTAAGCGCTGGAGTAAAGCATGAGAGCAGGACTTCACTCACAGCACTTCCATGTTGTTGAGACCCCAGAAAGCCCCGTCCATGAGGCGTGTGATGCCGTTCCTCTGGATCTTCAGCGAGCGAAGGCCGTGGAGTCCGTGAAACGCCAGACCCTCAATACGCCGAACACGGTTCCTGCTCAGCTCTCTGTCGATCACACACACACACGAGTCACATGAAATCGCACTTAAACCGATTTGGCTTCTCTGGATTATGAAATGGCGAATGCTGTGATTGTCAGTTATGTGCAGCGTGTCAGTGAAGCACGGCTCAGGAAACGCGGCTCGCTCTGAAAGCACTGCGAGTTCCAGTCGCTTATAACGTGCGTTTGAAAAAGCAACACGAGTCAAACATCTTTCCAGACATGAGACGCATTTATGAACCTCTCGTCCAACAAAGGACAACATTTAATAACACGCTTTTACTCTAAACTCACTTCATCAGGACAGCTGAGCTCGTCCTCCTGTGAGATGATGCGCTTCTCACACAGAAGACGGCAGTCGTGTGTTTATTAGTCGTGTTTCATCAGAGCGTTTCAGTCTTCTGTTTATGCAGATACAGCGATAGGGGTTTCCTGGAATGATGTGTGTTATCGTACTTATATGTGCTGTGTGTGTGACGCCCTCTGGTGTTCAGAGGGATATGTGGTGTGTGTGTGTGACGCCCTCTGGTGTTCAGAGGGATATGTGGTGTGTGTGTGTGTGTGTGTGAGACACACAGAGGTGTTGAGATGGAGCATTTTCTACTGATCAGCCGCTGCACTGACAAACTGTGCTTAAAATAATCACAGCCTTTGGCAAATCACGTGTGGCTTCATTGCGATTAATCGTGCAGCTGTAGTGTGGACTGATGGAACGAGACGTGAGCGAGTGTGTGTGTGTGTGTGTGTGTTCACTTACAGGGTCTGCAGGTGCGGGAGCGGGAAGATCTTGGGCGGGACGGAGCTCAGCCGGTTCTTGTTGAGTTTTAACACCAGCAGCGAGTTGGACAGGTTACTGAAGCAGCCGTGCTCCAGCGTGGAGATACGGTTGTTATTCATCAACCTGCAAACACACGATTCAAACACAGATTCATGACATGCAGAGATGCCGATTCACAGAAGCCGCAGTTAATGACAGCTTTAGCTATAGATAATAAACTACTTCTGTTCTCAGTCTTTTTGGAATCAGCTATATAAGAACTTAAACTAGTCTGAAAGAGCTTAGACTTGTTTTAAAAGTGCTTAACTAGTCAGCATGTTACAGTTATTCTGAAAAGAATATAAATAAGCCTAAAATAGCTTAAACTATTCTAAAAAACCTCAAACTAGACTTAAAAAAAGCTTAAACTAGTCTGAAAAGTGCTTAAACTAGTCTAAAAGTGCTTAAACTAGTCTGAAAAGTGCTTAAACTAGTCTGAAAAGTGCTTAAACTAGTCTGAAAGTGCTTAAACTAGTCTGAAAAGTGCTTAAACTAGTCTGAAAAGAATATAAATAAGCCTAAAATAGCTTAAACTATTCTAAAAAACCTCAAACTAGACTTAAAAAAAGCTTAAACTAGTCTGAAAAGTGCTTAAACTAGTCTGAAAAGTGCTTAAACTAGTCTGAAAAGTGCTTAAACTAGTCTGAAAAGTGCTTAAACTAGTCTGAAAGTGCTTAAACTAGTCTAAAAGTGCTTAAACTAGTCTGAAAAGTGCTTAAACTAGTCTGAAAAGTGCTTAAACTAGTCTGAAAGTGCTTAAACTAGTCTGAAAAGTGCTTAAACTAGTCTAAAAGTGCTTAAACTAGTCTGAAAAGTGCTTAAACTAGTCTGAAAATTGCTTAAACTAGTCTGAAAGTGCTTAAACTAGTCTGAAAAGAATATAAATGAGCCTAACATAGCTTAAACTATTCTAAAAAAGTTCAAACTAGACTTAAAAAGGTTTAAACTAGTCTGAAAGAACATAAATGAGCTAAAAGAGCTTAAACTAGCATAAAAGTGCTTAAACTAGTCTAAAATAGCTTAAACTAGTCTTAAAAGTGATTAAACTAGTCTGAAAAGAATATAAATGAGCCTAAAATAGCTTAAATTATTCTAAAAAAGCTCAAACTAGACTTAAAAAGGCTTAAACTAGTCTGAAAAGTGCTTAAACTAGTCTGAAAAGAATATAAATGAGCCTAAAATAGCTCAAACTATTCTAAAAAAGCTCAAACTAGACTTAAAAAGGCTTAAACTAGTCTGAAAGAACATAAATGAGCTAAAACAGTTTAAACTAGCATAAAAGTGCTTAAACTAGTCTAAAAGAGCTTAAACTAGCATTAAAAGTGCTTAAACTAGTATTAAAAGTGCTTAAACTAGTATTAAAAGAGCTTAATCTAGTATTAAAAGAGCTTAATCTAGTATTAAAAGAGCTTAATCTAGCATTCAGACAGTGTTGGAGCGTGAGACTCCATCAGGTTTCTGGAAACGGGTCAGCTCAGAGCAGAAAGAGGACTCACAGGTTTTTCAGAGGAAGTGGAGGAAAAGCCCCGGCCCGAACCTCCATAATATTGTTGTTGCTAAGGTCCAGTGTCTCCAGCGCGACCAGCGAACCGAGCCGATCCGTCGAGATCCTCGAAATCTTGTTGTTTGCTCTGAAAACAGAAAGAAAGGCGTTTCAGAAAGCAGATTTCAGTGTTTCTCCGGCTCAGATGTCAGAACGCCTCACAACAGCTCACAACTGCCCTTGGGTTTAGAAGAGTGTTATTTGGTTTATAAGGTAATTACTAACAAGGTATTTAAACACAAAAACACCCTGGCAATTACACGGATGATGAAGCCCATTCCCTCAGTGAAAGATTGTGATCTGATGATGGTTTGGGTCGATCATGACACTGAAGAATGCCTTCTTAAAACCTGACAAAGGGAAAAATGTTAAGGCATCAGTTACACAGCTATATAAGAACTTAAACTAGTCTGAAAGAGCTTGAACTAGTTTTAAAAAGCTTAAACTAGTCTAAAAAAGCTTAAACTAGTCTGAAAAAGCTTAAACTAGTCTGAAAAAGCTTAAGCTAGTCTGAAAAAAGCATAAACTAGTCTAAAAAAGCTTAAGCTAGTCTGAAAAAGCTTAAGCTAGTCTGAAAAAAAGCATAAACTAGTCTAAAAAAGCTTAAACTAGTCTTAAAAAAGCTTAAACAAGACTTAAAGCTTAAACTAGTCTTAAAAAAGCTTAAACAAGACTTAAAGCTTAAACTAGTCTAAAAAAAGCTTAAACTAGTCTTAAAAGTGCTTAAACTATTCTATAAGAACATAAATGAGCCTAAAAGAGCTTAAACTAGTCTAAAAAAAGCTTAAGCTAGTCTGAAAAAGAGCATAAACTAGTCTAAAAAAGCATAAATTAGTCTAAAAAAGCCTAAACTAGTCTAAAAAAGTGCTTAAACTAATCTATAAGAATGTAAATGATCCCAAGAGCTTGAACTAGTCTAAAAGAATACAAACAAGCCTACAAAAGCTTAAACTAGACTTAAAAAAGCTTAAGCTAGTCTGAAAAAAAGCATAAACTAGTCTAAAAAAGCATAAATTAGTCTAAAAAAGCCTAAACTAGTCTAAAAAAGTGCTTAAACTAATCTATAAGAATGTAAATGATCCCAAGAGCTTGAACTAGTCTAAAAGAATACAAACAAGCCTACAAAAGCTTAAACTAGACTTAAAAAAGCTTAAACTAGTCTGAAAAGAGCATGAACTAGTCTAAAAAAACGAGCACAGTGATCTGCCGAGCGAACGCCTGCTAAACTGCAGTGCAGGAGCTGTGTGTGTCAGAGACACAGAGACGCCTTTGTGTGAACACATTCCCTGCACTCGCAGGTCTAAACCTCCAGATCGGCTCTGCGTTTATGCAGGTGAAGCTGAGCGTGATGCCACATGTCATCACCAGAGAGAGGACACATGACTGGGATCCTGCAAACCTGTGCAGATAGACACACTAAATCACCACAAATACACTACCAGTCAAAGGTTTGGGATCGGTACGATTTTTAATGCTTTGCTGTTCTGAAAAACCCCCCCAAAAAACAGTAATATTGTTAAATATTATGACAATTTAATATAACGGTTTTCTATGTGAATATACAGTAAAGTGTAATTTATTCCTGTGATCAAAGCTGAATTTCCAGCATCATTACTCCAGTCTTCAGTGTCACATGATCCTTCAGAAATCACTCTAATATGAGGATCTGATGCTCAAGACACAGTTATGATTATTATCAGTGTTGGAAACAGTTGTGTATTTATATTTATTTGAAATAGAATCTTTTGTAACATTATAGATGTCTTTACTGTCACTTTTTGATCAATTTAATTCATCCTTGATGAATTAAAGTAGTGATTTCTTTTATTTATTTCAAAATATAAAATAAAAATTCTTACAGACCCAAAACTGTTGAACGCTAGTGTTTAATGTTACAAAAGCTTCTATTTCAGATAAATGCTGTTCTTTTGAACTTTATATTCATCAAAGAATCCTGAAATAAAAGTGTAAATAACAGTTTCCAACACTGATAATAATCATAACTGTGTCTTGAGCATCAGATCCTCATATTAGAGTGATTTCTGAAGGATCATGTGACACTGAAGACTGGATTGGTGAACAGAAGAGACTTCTTTTAAAAACATAAAAAATCGTACCGCTCCAGAACTTTTGACTGGTAGTGTAACTTAACCTAAAATGCATTGAACTACAATTAATTTTCTAATATATATCCTCAGTTTCTCATCTTCAGCTCAAGCCAGTGATCTAAACCTCTACGATTCCTTGTTCTTGTTTAAGAAAAGCCCACAATGAAAAGCACAAGGCACACAGAGGCATGCTGGGAACTCTGTGCTTTTGTGAAGAGGCGAAGGTGTTGAGCGAGCGAGACAGATAAAGACACGGGACGTGCCGGAGCAGATCCCTCTCGAGAGACGGACGTGTGAAGGAAGCATCCCACGGAAAACAAGGAATGCCACCCATGGGAATCTGACAAATACATCTTATTGGATGGAAAAATAAGCTTGTTTGCATTAAGATTCTCAATCCTAGTTCCTGTTTATTACCTCGCTGTAATTCCTCATGACAGAATAGCCATAAAATAACCAGACAGATCTCTCTGTGTGTGTTCAACATCTGCTGAGAGTGTGTGTGTGTGTGTGTTTGTGTCATCTACCCCTCCTCCTCAGCGTTCACACACAAACAAGCGGCTCATTGTGTCTCTCTGCCGCACAACTCAAATTTGTTCAACCAATTTTCAGCAAATAGGGTTGTTACACGCCGTTAGTTTAATCAGCGCCAGAGTCTGAGCGGGATATATATAGCCAAATCCCGATGACAAACATATCTGTGACATACATGGAAATCTTTTCCAAATAAAGTCGATTGAGAAAGCAGCGCTGCGAATGTTTGGCACGTCAGCACATTATGAGAGTTATTAGACACACGCTGAATTTCATAATACAGACACTTTCCACAGTTTGTGTGTGTGTGTGTGTGTGTGTGTGTGTGTGTGTGTGTGTGTGTGTGTGTGTGTGTGTGTGTGTGTGTGTGTGTTTCTGGCAGATGAGACTGAAGGGAAAAAGTCAAGTTGGCTGCGAGATGATCAGAGAAGAGCTCTCACACACACACACACACGGTCTGAAACACATTAACCAACTCAATTTCAACATATTTTCCTCATGTTGTAAAGATCCTGCTGCTTTACATTAATGAGCGAACGAACCGTCCTCAAACATCATCTCTGCCACTAATACACTTATTTCAGCTGGAAATTCAATGGAAAATACTTGAGATTTCCAAGTGGTCCCGATGAGTATTTGTCAGATAATCTAAAAAAAAAAAAAAAAAAAAAAAAAAAGTCTAAAAACCCTTAAAGTGCTTTACAAGAGCTTGAACCAAACAAAAAGAGTTAAAGCTAGACTAAAAGAGCTTAAAATGAGTGTAAAAAAATCCTTAAACTAGACTTCAAAATAGTCTAAAAAGCTTCACCTAGAGTAAAAGAGCTTGATCTAGTCTAAAAGAGCTTAAAGTACATTAAAAGAGCTTAAATTAGTCTAAGAACGCTGAAACTATACTTAGAAAAGCTTAAATTAGACAAAAAAAAATTGTTTTAAATAGACTGAAAGAGCTTAAACTTCAACTTAAAGTTGAATACTACACTAAACTAAACCAGCTTAGTCTAGTCTAAAAGTAACTATATTCAGTTGAGAAATTCAGTGGAATATAGTTTGTATTTTAAATTACCATTATGATCATGACTATTATTAGATAATTCAGACCATTAAATACTTTACAAACATAAGATTTATATTTACATGCATGCATTTAGCAGACGCTTTCATCCAAACGTCTCAGTGTCACTCTTTGTTTGGAACTTGATGAATATAAACCAAAAGATCTGATTATTCACAGCAAATGAATCCGTCTTACGTCACACGTCACACTTGAGCTAAAACCAGCAAAACTACAAGGCGATTAAAGCTGCACGATTTTGGAAAAATTAAGAATCACGATTTTTTTGGTTTAAATTGAGATCACGATTCTGAACAAAAAACTAAACAAAATAACATGCAATTTACTAGAGGTCCTGATGTAATGTTAATCGCTGCAGTCTATTTCAATTAATCTGAACTAATAAGTGAATGATTCAATGACTCACTCATAAATGTTTCATTACTGGATGAATCAGTGTTTTTGAACGAATCTCTTGAATGAATGAACGAATGATCATGTTTTAACAGTCACGTGTCGCCACCTACTGGAGTAACGATGTAATTGATACAATCTTTATTTGAAGCTATAAACTTTCATAGTTTTCATACTTTCATCACAAAATAAAAGTTTGTTTACATAATGTATGTGTGTGTGCTGTGTATAATTATTTTGTATATATAAATACACACACATGCATGTATATATTTGAGAAATATTTGCATACTGTATATAATTTATATTAGATATAAATCTAAATATTTTATATATTAATAGGCACATTTTTCTTAAATATATACATGTATGTGTGTATTTATACATACAAAATAATTATACACAGCACACACACACATATTACGTGTAAACAAACGATTACTCGTTGCACAACCCTAATAAACACACACAAGATCAACGTGCCTCGACTGAACGCCGCTTTGCATCGCATCTGAAACTAAAAAACACCATCTTTACTTGCTTGTGACGTGTTCTGGAGTGTAAATAAAGCCAGAGTAATATATATATACGGGTCTGGGTATCGAATAGCTCCTGCCTCTTATTCAAACACTCTCTCAGACTGAGCGTCTCTCGTGTCTGACCCGTCGGCGAGAGCACACGGCCCCGGCTCCACAGCTGGGAGCAATTCACTCGCCAACACGACAATTAATCCAACCATTCACAGGAATTTATGGCCGAGAGCAATTTAAGAGCCGTACGAAGCCAAGGCTCGTGAGTAATTAGCTGGAAAATTCGAGCGTCAGATTGAAGGACTGAACATTTTTGATTCAATTCAAAATGCATGTTTCGACACCCTAGCCACCGCTCATCTGTCTCCATCTTCAGACAAAGCTGTGTCAAGCCAACACGAGATCTGTGAGCGTCAGTGAGCGCCGCTAGACTAAACACCGGCTGAGGATGTTAATGGAGTCGGATGTTTCTGGACGACGGTGTTGTATTTAACACTCAGATGAAGCTCCACACCGGCGCCGTCACACACAGGAGACCGACAAAACCCTGCCAAACTGTGTTCTGCGTCCAAGAGGAAATACCACACACACACACTCTCACTCTCACTCTCACACACACACACACACACGCTCAGAAATTCACTCCAGACGCTCTTCACCAGGGAAATTAATGTTTCATTATGTTGCCATTTTATGTGTCACATTTTCAAGAAGATGAAATGTGCTGGAGAACCATAACTAATAACTAATATGACAATGAGGAATATTTCACAAAACCAGATTCAAACAGTTTTGGCTCGCATTAAAAACACTCTCAAAAACACCTCATGCAAATCCGACCAACAACGCTTTTTAAACCCGAACTCGCACCTGCAGAACAACCCGAACTCAAAGGTGACGTTCCTAAAGGACCACCTGTATGTATGAACACACACACACACACACACATCAGCTGATGTCAGTGTAAAATATGAAGAGGTTTTAATTTGATTTGACCTCACGTTACAGATCCAACCCGTTCAACTTTTAAGACATGCCACACAAACTCACTCATTGGTCAGTCAAACAGATAGCCCCGCCCCCAAACTTACTCATTGGACAGTCAAACAGATAGTCCCGCCCCCAAACTCACTCATCAGTCAAACAGATAGCCCCGCCCCCAAACTCACTCATTGATCAAACAGAAAGCCCTTCCCTCAAACTCACTCATTGGTCAGCCAAACAGATAGCCCCGCCCCCAAACTTACTCATTGGACAGTCAAACAGATAGCCCCGCCCCCAAACTCACTCATTGGTCAGTCAAACAGATAGCCCCGCCCCCAAACTCACTCATTGGTCAAACAGATAGTCCCACCCCCAAACTCACTCATTGATAAAACTGAAAGGCCCGCCCCCAAACTCATTCATTGATCAAACAGATAGGCCTAGTCCCACCCCCAAACTCACTCATTGGTCAGTCAAACAGATAGGCCTAGTCCCGCCCCCAAACTCACTCATTGGTCATTCAAACAGATAGTCCCACCCCCAAACTCACTCAGTGGTCAGTCAAACAGATAGCCCCGCCCCCAAACTCACTCATTGGTCAAACAGATAGTCCCACCCCCAAACTCACTCATTGATCAAACAGAAAGGCCCGCCCCCAAACTCACTCATTGATCAGTCAAACAGATAGCCCCGCCCCAAAACTCACTCATTGATCAGTCAAACAGATAGTCCCGCCCCCAAACTCACTCATTGGTCAGTCAAACAGATAGCCCCACCCCCAAACTTACTCATTGATCAGTCAAACAGATAGTCCCGCCCCCAAACTCACTCATTGGTCAGCCCCGCCCCCAAACTCACTCATTGATCAGTCAAACAGATAGCCCCGCCCCAAAACTCACTCATTGATCAGTCAAACAGATAGTCCCGCCCCCAAACTCACTCATTGGTCAAACAGATAGCCCCACCCCCAAACTCACTCATTGGTCAGCCCCGCCCCCAAACTCACTCATTGATCAGTCAAACAGATAGTCCCGCCCCAAAACTCACTCATTGATCAGTCAAACAGATAGTCCCGCCCCCAAACTCACTCATTGGTCAGTCAAACAGATAGCCCCACCCCCAAACTTACTCATTGATCAGTCAAACAGATAGTCCCACCCCCAAACTCACTCATTGGTAGGCCCCGCCCCCAAACTCACTCATTGATCAGTCAAACAGATAGCCCCGCCCCAAAACTCACTCATTGATCAGTCAAACAGATAGTCCCGCCCCCAAACTCACTCATTGGTCAGCCCCGCCCCCAAACTCACTCATTGATCAGTCAAACAGATAGCCCCGCCCCCAAACTCACTCATTGGACGAGGTGTGAGCTGTCATGTTGCTCAGACACACAGGAGTAAATCATGATAACGTCTCATACTCACAGAATCAGACAGCTGAGGTTTCCAGCCTCGGGGCCCAGATCCGGGATCGACTCGAAGTCGTTGTTGTTCAGTTTTCTGTGAACATAAAACCAAACGGTTACACATGTAGAATTCCTACGTTCAAGGAGAAAAAATACCCCAAACACACACTCACATTTCGCTGAGGTGCGGCAGGCTGGAGAACAGCGCTTCGGGAAACATGCGCAGCTTGTTATGGCTCAGATCCCTGCAAAGAAGAAAACAGCCGTCAAAGAGTTTCTGAAGAGAACGAAAATAAACCCTCGTACAGTATGACATCATCACGCCAGTTCAACTCGGCACAGCATTAATGATCCAACCGTTCAAACCTACATCGTACACAAATGCTCCTGTTAAAGCTTCATCATGGAAACACTGATGCCAATAAGAGATATGTTTGGTTCCCCAAAGAACATTTCTTAAAAAAGAACCATTTTAATTTCACTATAAAGAACCTTTTGTGCGTTGAAATCCCATGGATGTTGCATGTACTTAACATATTTTGTATTTTAAGAAAATACCATTTATAATATTCTTTAACGACACACCATCAAAGCATCCAATAAGAATTCAGCAAACCTCCACCTATTTTTATGCACATTTTGGGATATAGCATTAAAAAGACTGGATAGAAACACCAAGATGTGCATAAAATGTGTAATAATGTGCATTAAAAAAACATATGTGTTCAATTGAGGCGAATACATTTTTTATCCCATAAGACTAAACTACGATGGAAACATAAATCACTCGATGCGCAATGAAACCCTCAGCGGAGGCTGTGATTGGATAACTGGAGTAACCAGTGGACCAATGGCATCGCAGCTTCTCTAATGTTGGTTTGGTGTTTCTGAAAGGCCGGAGTCGAAGTGTGTGATCAGAGTGATTGGGTTTAATTGAGCCGTTGCAGGGAGTTTGATTGACAGGCGATCTGACCAATCATAATCCGCCATTTTTGTCCGACAAAGCCGTCAGGAGAGTTAGATTAACGTTGGAGGATTTGAACTTGAGAAACGTCTTTCCACGGTTAAAACAACATACCTTCTGATGTTCATCCATGTTTATTTGATGCTAAATGAACTAGAAGGACGAGATGATCGGTTCACGAGCGGCTTTAACTCGACACGACACATTAAACAGCCACAAAATGGTATTAATTGTTTAAATTTCTTTAAAAAAATGACCAAATTTGAAAGTTGAGACTGTGTTTCATATCAAAGGTAAGCTGGTGTGTCCTGTGTCAGTGTGTTGTCAGTGCGTCTCTGCGCCGCGGTGTGTGATTCACTGCGAGAGGACATGATGTGGCGTGAAAGAGGCGTGGCTTGTCGGACATAGCAACAGTAACTAAGGGGGCGGGTCTTTGCGAACGGTCAGTTCCCTCCAGAAGCGTCTCACACAGTGTGTTCCCGAACGCCAGCATACGAACGCCAGAACACGACAGCGTTTCGTCTGACGCTCCACACACACTCGTTTATGATGAGGGAGAAAGAGAACGATTGCAGAAACTCACAGTTTATCACTGATATTCTGCGACAGTTTCACAGGAAGTGATGATTTTGTTGAACACATGGGATGGAAACACTGCAAAACTTTTATGACATTTTCAAATTTTGCACACAAGTATGCTCAATTCCATAGCACAGACTTTCCTCTAAATGTTCACAGGGCTTTAAATCAAATCAGCGTTTACACTAGAGCTGTCAAACGATTCATCGCATGCTAAATAAAAGTTTGTGTTTATATAATATGTGTGTGTGCACTGTGTATAATTAATTTCTATTTATAAACACACATGCATGTATATATTTAAGAAAAATTTGTTATTTATATATAAAATATTTATATTTATTGTATATATATTCAGTATATACATGCAAATATTTCTTAAATATACATGCATGTGCAGGGCTCGAGACTAACGGCATCCTATCGTCCTGGGGACGATAGAAAATGTGTTCAGGACGAACAGAAATATTTTCCAGGACGCCTACAGGACGAAAAATATTTTTGTATGTGTGTTAATTTATTACTAGCCTATTAGGCTAACTTACTTCTGCCAAACGCCAAAATTAACCGACCAAGCGCTGACTACAACAGAGCGCGTCTTCTCACGCTGTTACTATAGTTACTATCACTGGCCGGCTACTCACCCGGAGACTTGTTCCGCGGTACATCTATCAAATGGCTTAATGACATCGCAAATATGTTGCGCTGGTTAAACAACGGATATTCAATGAATAAAAAATAGACAAAAATGTTAGATAGTGACGATTTAGGAAGAGATCCAGTCAGAGATGTCCTGCGTTTGTGGTAGATGCGCACATTTGTACTGTAACGTGCTGATACCCAGCGGCACACGAGTTGGCATGCACTGCATGTCTCATAAAGCGTTAAACAATGTAAACGTCTGGGAGAATGAGTAGAGCGCACATCTGAATAAGAGTGACGACGCAGAGAAAAGCTCTATTCGGTGCGGTTTTCTGTGCGCACACACACGACCGAAGCGTCCAGCCGTAGACACAATACAGCGCGCGAGGACTGACCTGAGCTCTCTTTCGTGTCTGAATGGACAAAAAACACACAACATTATGTCTAAATGTCCGTTCTGGAGAGTTTTAACTTAAAATATGTCGGTTATGTCTTAAACAGTTGTGAGTGTATCGGATGTGCATCAGTGGATCAGCATGTCATTGGACATGATCCGACGTCTTAAAGTGACAGTGGCAATAAACCTAATGCGGTCTGTGTCCTTAATATTGATCAAGCAACAAAAGAAAAAGAGAAAAGCATTCACTGCTCGTTAATAGCTTTAATAAGGATTCATAATATTGAATTCATACAAATAAATATGTCTGCTGCTTGAAAAAATAAAGAATGATGTATGCAAGTTAAAAAGAATGCATATATCATTAATTGGAAAGAAGACTGTGTTCTACTCTAGGAAAAGTGGTTTTATTTAATTTTAAGATATTTTTTAAGTCACAGTAGTTAAATCTGTATCTGTATTGCATTTTCAAACTTTAAAATCATTCATATTAACAGGTTAATGTTTTCTCCGGCACAAAGACCCCAGTCAGGACAAAGACTGAGACGGAGACACAGATTTTCCCCCTAATTCTGTGTTCTAGAGAAGTCATATTACACTTTTTAAAGCCCTTTCCCTTAATAACACATTTCCAGATGATCAGCTATGACATATTACCACTTTGAGATGTAGTCACCAGTATTTATTTGTTATTGTTTAATCCAACCATGTAAAAAAAAAAAAAAATTGTTCTGCATGAATACAAAAAAGCATTTAACTCCTTTTATTTTTTATTTAATCTGTTTTTTACCTATTTACAGATAACTACTTTGAATGGAGCTAACTAAATATAATATATATCTATATACTATAGATGATAAAGTACAGAAACAATATTTTCATTTTGGGACGGTTGACATTCACTTTAGGACGGTTCAAATTGTTTATCAGGACGGTTTCAGGACGGAGGTGAAAAAAGTTAGTCTGGAGCCCTGATGTGTATTTATTGATATATACAAAATAATTATACACAGTACACACATGTATATTATGTAAACACAAACTTTTTTATTTATTTGATTCTGCTGTTAAACACAATAGTGTCATTATTCAGACCAATTCAGTTCAATAACGGTTTAAAAAATATGGTATAGTGATGATAATTATACAATTATCATATTCACGTCCACAATATTCCCATAGTACTGTTCACCAACATGCTATCAAGCTGAATTAATAATAATTTCCAACATAAAACGTGCCGATAAACACCACATGTTAACGCTAACAAACACACAGCACTGCAGATAATGCTAACGTTTAGTTCTTCACTCATATTTATAACGATTTTGTCAATTTTCCAGTATGAATTTGACGGTGTAAAACTGCTGGCGTCTCAAACGCTCCGGCACTGAAAACACCCGGATCTTTCCAGATGTAAATCATGAAAAGCTTTTTTTCCTTCTATTTTTCCATTCTGGCAGCGAGAGTTCACAGCCAAAGACTCCAGGCCTCGCTCTCTCTCTCTCTCTAACACACACACACACACACACACACACACACACACACAGGCTCTTAATGGCTTCCATCTCTGGCTGGGTTTAGCTGCTAATTCAGCAGAAATAATGGGCCTGGGGAAAACAAAAGCTCCAGCAGTGTGACGCCTGAACATGTGCAGTGTGTGTGTGTGTGTGTGTGTGTGTGTGAGTGTGTGAGCATCGGCTCCTGAGGGCCTGAAACACACCAACACCGCTCACTTTATGAACACACCGATCATAACTCTCACACACCAACACCGCTCACTTTCATCCCTCACTTTATGAACCAAGCGGTTTCAAACTGGGACGCAAGTTCAGTAATAAACACAATATTTATAAATAAATTAGGGCTGTTAAACGATTAATCACGATTAATCGCAACCAAAAAAAAGTTTGTGTTTACATAATATATGTGTGTGTGCTGTGTATAATTATTTTGTATAAATATTAAATAAATACACACACATGCATGTAGCCTATATATATTTAAAACATATTTGCATACTGTATATTTATTTACTTTATATATATAAAAAATTATATATAAATAACACATTTTTCTTAAATATATAGGCTACATGCATGTGTGTGCAATATAATTACACATGGTATACACACATATATTATGTAAACAAGCGATTAATCGCTTCACATCCCAAAAATAAATATATCAGCATTGACATAATTTGACATCACTGTTTTCTGGTCTGTAATGTAAGGATAGTTGAACAGTAAACTAATGATGAGTAGAAACTGAATAATAGACATGTGTAAATATTTTCCAGCACACATTTATAACTGTGTAAATGAGTCTTTATGAATATATATAGGAAAGTAACACATCATATTTAAGGGTCCATGGCATCACACAGTCCTGAGTTACATGAGGAGAAATGAGTAAAGCCTGTTTAATTACAAAGTGTTTGTTCTTAATAAAATAACACAAGCAAATAAAGTCCAGCTAAAGCTTTCAGAGGTCTGGAGGATTCAGTTCTCACAATAAATCATCATGGTAATATTATTATGTTGATGAAAATATGACTTTATTTCTCTCTCTTTAAGAATCTGCCTGATCTTATAAATAGATCAAGAGAAAATGTTTGGGTAATATCGAGGTTTAGATTAGATTCTTTGGGCCTTAAACTGAACACACACACACACACACACACACAAAGATATACAGACACACACAGGCACTTTCTCACACAGACACACACACACACACTCTCTCACAGACACTCTCTCATACATACATACACACACACTCATATACACACTCTATCACAGACACTATCACAGACACTCTCTCTCACACACAAACACTCTCCCTCTCTCTCACACACACTAACACACACACACACACACGAGGAAAATCGATCAAACTAACTCAACTATCACTGTCACTGTTTAGACGGAGAAAAGTTTGTTTATCCTAGTTTCAGCCTTGTTTGTTTTAGTTGTTTTTCACTTCAGTGGTCTATAAACGGTCCGCACACTGTTAGTGTTCTCATTCTCCACCTTGTGTGTTTTCCCCATATTTAAACTAATGTTTTTATCGTGTTTGATCGAGAGACACACAAAGGATCTGAGGTAAAAACACACTCACAGGCGCCTGATCCGCGCGGGCAGCCGCTCCGAGATCATGCCGTGTTTCAGTGCACTGCAGTCGGCGAGGGGTCCCACACACGAGCACACGGATGGGCAGGGGTCCGGGTCCGGTTCCGAGTCTCCGTGAAGCGCTTTAAATCCCGTGAGGTGAAACACAAGCAGCGCGAAGCTCACGGCGCGAGCGGGCTGCGGCATTTTCACCCACAACAACAAAACTAACAAAAAGTCCACAAAATCGATCCTTAAAAGTTTAAATTCCGCACGAATGTGAAAGAGAACAAAGATCTTAGCAGATCCGCGTCAATTGAACTCTCTTTTCGCGTTTAATATCATGAATAAAAGTGCATAAATCAGCGCCTCACCAACCGCTCCATCTCTGAGGAACTTTTTTCCACCGCGCGCTGGAATCAGAGCAGCATTCCGCGGCGCGCGCTCCCGTGGGCCGAACAGCGAGAGGGATTCTGGGTAATGTAGTACAGACAGACAGAGACGCTTATCAAAACATTTTGCGAGAGAACGCAAAAGCACTGACAAATATTTGTTTTCTTTTACCATGTCTCTTTAGGGGCTCCGTATCATTTAGCGTTTTTATTTCATAATCAGGAGTTTTTCAGGCAGAATTTCGACTTTTATGTCACAATTTTGAACTTTCGTGCTTTGTGTCATAATTATGACTTAGTATATCATATGTTTGACTTTTAATGTCATAATTTGACTTTTTAAGTCATAATTTCGACTTTTCATCTCAAAATTCAACTCATAATTTCACATTTTTGTCATCATTTTTACTTTTACTGTCACAAATTTGACTTTTCATCTCATAATTATGACTTAGTATGTCATAATTTCAAATTTTTGTTAAATTTGACTCACAATTTTGACTTTTAATGTCTCAGTATGTCAATTTTGACGCAGTATGTCATTATTTATGATTTCAGCAGCTTGCATGAAATCACTTGAACGTATAAAAACGTTTAATTTATTTAATGAGAAAGAAAAAGAGAGGATTTTGGCCCTTAAAACATGAGTAAAACATGTTCCTGTATAATAAGGTGTGAACGAGCTTTATTTCTTAAACCCATCAGAAAAGTATGTTTCCATTAAACCCTTTACAGGAACAATCTTAGTTCATTATCCAGGAATCATGACACGTTTCCACGATCATTATGAATTATAAGTAGGTTAGTGGTTGGATTGAATATTTGATTGTCCTACATAATCAGAAGGACAAAGAGACAGAAATCAATTCTTATTAAGCAAACGGCATTTGCTTTAATTTCTAATCATGATTATGGCCTCGAGCTAATGATCGTCCGGTTCGGCTCGAATCTAATCATCTATTATTAAACACAACAACTTACTAAGCATTGATTTAAAAAAAGAAATGTAGGTGTATTTTATCTTGCTTGCAAGCAATTCTTAAAAACGTATTAAATAAATATATTATTTATATTTATTATACTAGATAAATAATTTATAATGGTTGTGTTGTTGTTATTTATTTATTTGAAATATGCGAATGTCCTAAAAAATGCTGGGTTGTTTCAAACCAACTTTGGGTCGAATATGGATAAACCCAGCCGTTGGGTTACATTTCTTAATTACATTTTTAACCCAACGTTAAATGTAAAAGTAATGCATTAAATCTGATTATCTCAAGTGTTACGCCCAACACGAGTGTCTATTGACGACGTAACATCTGAATGTAATATCTCTAGTGTAAAAGATCAGCCTCTTAAACGAGTCCTGAGTCTCGGGTCGTGGACAGATTCCAGTCTTTATACTCAGAATAGCAGAAACCCCGTCTTCCCAGCATGCACTGCTCCGTTGGCTCGTGTCCGCCTGCACAAACATGGCCGTGTGTTTGACAGCTGACGGGGTTTACGAGTGGAAGAAGGGCCGATTCTGTGCGGAGACACACACACACTCATTCCTGCAGGTATATCTGCGGTCTGTGGAGGAGCAGGGCATTCTGGGTATTCTGGAACTGCACTTACTGCCGTTTGTTCAGCCAAGAATCACTAACACGAGGCATTAACCCATAAAGCTCCTGTATCATATTCATATCTGATGATCATATCATCAGTCCTTCTGTGAGTTTAGACTCTTTTATCAAGTTTAGTTTAATAGTACAAATGTCCTGTCAAACAGCTGATCCCCTCCACACTCGCCTCCATCCCGGCGGAACCGGGTCCAGTCTGACCTCTGACCTCTGACCTGTAATGCTCCTGATCACTGCTGCTGTTGGCCAGAGGATCTGAGACGGAGTCTGGGTTCCCCCGAGGGTTCCTCCACTCCTGATCTGCCGTACTGCAGGAGGACGGTTTTCTTCTAGAAACTTCTTGTATTATTTTCCTGTTTCACTGTGAAGCTGCTTTGATGCAATATGTGTTGTAAAAAGCGTTATATATATAAATGTGACTTGAAATCTGACCTGATTTTATCAAGTAAACATGAGAATAACTTTGATATTGTTTATTTATGACATGAACACAGAGAACACACACACACACATGAACAGAGAGAACACAAACACATGAACAGAGAGAACACACACACACACACACACACAAACACATGAACACAGAGAACACAAACACACATTAACACAGAGAACACAAACACACATTAACACAGAGAACACAAACACATGAACACAGAGAACACACACACATGAACACATGAACACAGAGAACACACACACACATGAACACAGAGAACACACACACACATGAACAGAGAGAACACACAAACACATGAACACAAAGAACACAGAGAACACAAACACACAAACACATGAACACAGAGAACACACACACACATGAACACAGAGAACACACACACACATGAACAGAGAGAACACAAACACATGAACACAGAGAACACACAAACACATGAACACAGAGAACACAAACACACAAACACATGAACACAGAGAACACACACACACATGAACAGAGAGAACACAAACACATGAACACACAAACACATGAACACAGAGAACACACAAACACATGAACACAGAGAACACACAAACACATGAACACAGAGAACACAAACACATGAACACATGAACAGAGAGAACACACACACACATGAACACAGAGAACACACACACACACATGAACAGAGAGAACACAAACACATTAACACAGAGAACACACAAACACATGAACACAGAGAACACAAACACACAAACACATGAACACAGAGAACACACACACACATGAACAGAGAGAACACAAACACATGAACACAGAGAACACACAAACACATGAACACAGAGAACACACAAACACATGAACACAGAGAACACACAAACACATGAACACAGAGAACACAAACACATGAACACATGAACACAGAGAACACACACACACATGAACACAGAGAACACACACACACATGAACAGAGAGAACACAGAGAACACACACACACATGAACACAAAGAACACAGAGAACACAAACACACAAACACATGAACACAGAGAACACACAAACACATGAACACAGAGAACACACAAACACATGAACACAGAGAACACAAACACACAAACACATGAACACAGAGAACACACAAACACATGAACAGAGAGAACACAAACACATGAACACAGAGAACACACACACACATGAACAGAGAGAACACAAACACATGAACACAGAGAACACACAAACACATGAACACAGAGAACACACAAACACATGAACACAGAGAACACAAACACACAAACACATGAACACAGAGAACACACACACACATGAACAGAGAGAACACAAACACATGAACACAAAGAACACAGAGAACACAAACACACAAACACATGAACACAGAGAACACACACACACATGAACAGAGAGAACACAAACACATGAACACAAAGAACACAGAGAACACAAACACACAAACACATGAACACAGAGAACACACACACACATGAACAGAGAGAACACACAAACACATGAACACAGAGAACACACAAACACATGAACACAGAGAACACACAAACACATGAACACAGAGAACACACAAACACATGAACACAGAGAACACACAAACACATGAACACAGAGAACACACAAACACATGAACACAGAGAACACACAAACACATGAACACAGAGAACACACAAACACATGAACACATGAACACAGAGAACACACAAACACATGAACAGAGAGAACACAAACACATGAACACAAAGAACACAGAGAACACAAACACACATGAACAGAGAGAACACAAACACATGAACACAAAGAACACAGAAAACACACACACACATGAACACAGAGAACACAAACACACAAACACATGAACACAGAGAACACACACACACATGAACAGAGAGAACACAAACACATGAACACAGAGAACACAGAGAACACACATACACATGAACAGAGAGAACACAAACACATGAACACAAAGAACACAGAAAACACACACACACATGAACACAGAGAACACAAACACACAAACACATGAACACAGAGAACACACACACACATGAACAGAGAGAACACAAACACATGAACACAGAGAACACACACACACATGAACAGAGAGAACACAAACACATGAACACAGAGAACACACACACACATGAACAGAGAGAACACAAACACATGAACACAGAGAACACACAAACACATGAACACAGAGAACACACAAACACATGAACACAGAGAACACAAACACACAAACACATGAACACAGAGAACACACACACACATGAACAGAGAGAACACAAACACATGAACACAAAGAACACAGAGAACACAAACACACAAACACATGAACACAGAGAACACACACACACATGAACAGAGAGAACACACAAACACATGAACACAGAGAACACACAAACACATGAACACAGAGAACACACAAACACATGAACACAGAGAACACACAAACACATGAACACAGAGAACACACAAACACATGAACACAGAGAACACACAAACACATGAACACAGAGAACACACAAACACATGAACACAGAGAACACACAAACACATGAACACATGAACACAGAGAACACACAAACACATGAACAGAGAGAACACAAACACATGAACACAAAGAACACAGAGAACACAAACACACAAACACATGAACACAGAGAACACACACACACATGAACACAGAGAACACACAAACACATGAACAGAGAGAACACAAACACATGAACACAAAGAACACAGAGAACACACACACACACACACACACATGAACAGAGAGAACACAAACACATGAACACAAAGAACACAGAAAACACACACACACATGAACACAGAGAACACAAACACACAAACACATGAACACAGAGAACACACACACACATGAACAGAGAGAACACAAACACATGAACACAGAGAACACACACACACATGAACAGAGAGAACACAAAC